TGTGTGTGTGTGTGTGTGTGTGTGTGTGTGTGTGTGTGTGTGTGTGTAAAGAGCTCTCACAGCCTGAAGTTTGCCAAGTCGACTAGGCTGGCTAGTGAGCCCGAAGAATCCTCCAGTCTCCACCCCCCAGCACTGGGATTGCAGGTGTGCACCACCACACCTGATTGCTTTCCATGGATTCTGGGCGCAGAACTCAGGTCCTCCTGCTTGCATGGCTAGTGCCTTACTGACCAAGTGCTCTCTTCAGCTCACAAATGGCTTTTTAAAAGTATACGCTTACCTGCTTCCTAATTAGGTGGCAGTCCACACGGTCCTCCTATACAGAGGATCTGAGGGGTTGGCATGTGAGCTGGCACAAACCATTGTTCACCTCCAGCATGAGACACTGGGACAGGTGACACTCTGCATCCCGGGCAGCCGCTTATTGCCTGGGCAGCCTCCATTGTGAGGTAGCTGTGGCTTGTTCCCTGCCAGAGGCAACAAACCCTGAGCCTGAGCCCACAGCCAGGTGCCAGAACTTCCAGTCTAAAGATCCCTTCCTTCTCCCAGTCAGTGTTCCCTGGAGGCCACGGCATCAAGGGCTGAGCTGGGAGACAGGCTGGAAGCCTGTGCAAGTCCTGGCAGGTGTCAAGGCAGTCCTGAAGGGGACCTGCGACCCTGTTCTAGGTGCCGCAGGAGCCTGGAGAGGCACCCTCAGGCCAAGCTTCTCCAGTCACTGTCCTGACTCCCCACATCCTGGGTTTCACCCAGGGCCAGGCACACCCAGGCATCGGGAGCCAGCCTCTGAGACCTGCTGGATGGCTTCTGATGAGAGCCCACTGCTGTAGCTGAGTGCTGTGCCTCTGCTACCTGTTCACCATGGTAAAGACGCCTCTGCTTAGAAAAGATGCCAGCTGTGAGTGGAATTTTTTCAGTGTGTCTAAGAACTCCTCACAAAGCAGCAGCAGCAGTAGCAGCAGCAGCCACAGAAGCGTCTCCCCCCGGAAGGACCCTCAAGGGGAAGTCGATGGACTACTGTGAGTGATCCCATCACCCTTCCAGGGCAAGTACAGCTGGACCCCAGCTCCAAAGGCCCTCCGCATGCTCCCTGGTGACACAGCAAAGCTCCAGAACCTAGGAATGTTGACTGTAGCTCTGGAGAGCTGTCTGGGAATGCCACACTTCCCAGTTCTTGCAAAGAACCCAGATAAGGCAGCTGTCCGGAACCGGAGCTGCGGGCCAGAAAGCACATTCCTGACACTAGGAGAGTGTTCCTCTGTTCCTGGTCTACCCCAGTCCATTGTTCCCACAGACGTAGATCTTTCTGTAAACAAAGGATCACCCAATTACCCCATGTTCTACTTTTACCGCCCCAAACTCAGGCATATAAAAGATTCTCTCTAGACAGAGTCTCACTCTGTAACCCAGACTGGCCTCAAATTTGCAATCCTCCTGCTTCAGCTTCCAGGGCGCTAGGATTACTGTAATGCCTCATCCCTGATAAGCAATGGTGATATTTTGTAACGAATCCTCAAATGCCATTTATGTAAAGCCTACAACTACTTATGTGGTATGACTTTAAAAGTATACAGACAGGCTAGAGAGAACTCAGGCTACAGTCCCTGCCCACTCTGCACAAGGACTTTGGTTCCAGAGATGGGGAGAGAAACAGAGAAAGAAAAGTGAAAAGTACACACACACACACACACACACACAGAGAGAGAGAGAGAGAGAGAGAGAGAGAGAGAAGCGACCATGGTTTCTGAGGAAGATGTGTGGTAGGTCAGGAGACAGGAGAGTGAGCAGCTTTATTCACAAGGTTCTCTGTTACGCTCTTTAACTTCCGAATCTCTTACGATAGTGGAGCTGTCTAGTTTCTTCCACTCGTCTGTGTGAACACAGAGGGACTCTATAGACACCAAGAAACCCACCATCCACATCATTCACAAGAGAATCCATCCAGGACACGGCAAGTGCTGCAGGCCCTTGTGTAAAACTTCTGGACACTTAGAAGTAAACAGGAATGGCCACCTAATGTGTGCTTGTTTTGTCATTGGTAGGCCACGGGCATTTTCCTTACAGCAGCAATGTCTTGTTTTCCAAGGAAAGAATAGAAAGTTTAATTTTCTAAATGTCTCATCATAGCCCCCAGCCTATGTGTGCTGTCCAACGCCCTATGACCCAAGGCATAATGCTGTTACCGAAGATGCAATGGTTTCCCATAATGCCTCATCTTTCCCGGAAGGTTGGGTACAGTGAGGCCAGTGCTGTCTGTGATCATGCAGAAGGGAGAAGAGAAGGGAGGAGAGTCTATAAGACAACTTACTCCTGAAAAACTGACAAAGTGAAAAGGAGTAAGTGGGAGGAGATATATTTCCCAATAATTGTAGTTGACGAGAAATTACTGTATAGAAAGACTGGTGTCACAGAACTCCTCTATATTATGTAGCCGTTTGTAGAGATCTGTGTGTATTTATTCAATGAACATTGGTTAAGTTGATGTAGGAAGGGCTGGCTAGAATCAGCAAATTCTTTATATATCTACCAATCACTGTCCTTTCTCTAGTAAGTTAATGATCCAGTAAGCAGACATGGCGGCATTCCACCTTTCAGAGATGGAAGCAGGAAGATCAGGAGTTCAGTGTCACCCTGGACTACATAGCAAATTTGAGACTATCCTGGGTTGGTTACGTAAGACTCTGTCTCAAATGACAAGTCTTTAAAATTTTAAATTAAATTAAAAAGATCTGCCAGCAAATAGTCTACAGATTGGAGCAGTGGCTACCAATGTCTTCACTGTCTGTCTAATGTTAGCAGTGTATAGGCCTCAATGATTGTTGTTTGGGAGAATAAACCCCAAGGAGTCTCCCAATTGGTGGCAATTTCTATTTGCTTCCCCTTCAGAGTTTCCTGCTTGTTGAGCCTCCTGAACTGGCACAGCCCTGGATCACCTGATCCAGGACAGTACCCTGGGATTGAGAGTCATGCTAGAGTGAACACACCTGGCTCTGTCCTCTCCCAACACACACACACACACACACACACACACACACACACACACACACACACACACAGAGATGCTGGGACAGGGGCGGGGAGCCAGCCCTGCCTTGCCTTCCCCTTCTATTCCCTCTCCTCTTTGTTTTCCTCCGCTCCCCTCCTTTCTCCTGCCCTTGCCTCCCACCCCCTCCCCCACAATACCCTCTTCTCTCACTTTCTCCCCCACAGGTTTATGCAAATCTTTATCCACCTGCTGAAAAGCAACATTGGCACAGGGTTCCTGGGGCTTCCCCTGGCTGTGAAAAATGCCGGATTGTTGGTAAGAGCCTAGAAACGAGACTCATCCTAACTGCTAACTGCCGTAGGGGTAGAACAGTCTCTAGACCTCTGTAATGGGTGACCCTGAGGGACTGGGCTCTGAAACAGCAGCCGTGCCCATCAATTTCCAGCCAGTAACCAACCAGGAAACACACTGAGCGCTGCTGGAGAGGGCAAGGATCCCCATTCACCCTCCTCCACTCCAGCCCCTGGGGTGTCGAGTCACCCACCTCCCTTTTACGCTGCACTGACCTCGTCCTTGTACACTTGCATGCGTGTGTGACCCCTGTTTCCTTCCACCTGATGAAGTGCCAAGTGACGCTGGAAAGCTGCGACAAGAGGCTCTCCAGGTCAAGGTCAACCTAGACTATGTAGTGAGTTTTGAGGCAGCCTGGGCTACAGAGCAAGACTGTCTCAAGAAGAAAACAAAACAAAATACCCACAAGGGTGGAGGATGTAGCTTAGTTTCAAGACCAGTGACACGAAAGCCTGGGTTCAGTCCAAAGCACTGAGAAATAAAAATAAGGATAAAACCACCTGATGGTACATGAGATGGGGCTAGGCGTGGGAATAAGCATGTCCCTACAATCCCCATGTCCCCTACACCCAGCTGACACATCTCCTGGCTTATGCCCCCTCTTAAAAACTGTACCACGTCCTACACACGCGAAAGCTGTACCTTACATGTGTCTTCTCTAGAGTCCTTAGGGAGCTTGCAGAAGTCTAGCATACTTGCTCTGAATTTGTGATTAAAAAACCACATGGCCACCAGGTGGTAGCAGATGCCTTTAATCCCAGCACTCAGGATGCAGAGGCAGGGGAATCTATAGAACAAGTTCCAAGAGAGCCAGGACTGTTTCACGGAGTAACCCTGTTTCGAAAAAACAAAACAAAACAAACAAGCAAAAAAAGAACCACATGTCCCTCCACCCCTTCCTCCCCACAGTCCCCCTCTGGAGACCTGCACACAGAAAGCCCCAATGGTGCCCATGAGGACAGGTTGGTGCCTCATGTAGAGCTTCTCTTTAGCCTGCTTGTCTTCTCTGGGCCTGAGAAGTGGCCCCTTGTTTCCTCCCACCTGATTTCTGATGACGAACAGCCCCAGCCAGAGGATGGAGCCTCTCCTTCAGAGCCCTCCAGGTTCTAGATGTCTGCAGAAGAGCATTAAATCCATGTGGCCTCAGCCTTACTGCCTTGGTTAGCATGCTCTGTGATGCCCTGCTAGCTCTTTAGACTGCCCTCTGTATCCCCTCTGTTGTTGGGTGATATAGAGACCCTCCATTCTCTTCTGATGGTGGCCTGTACAGCGAGTCATTCTAAGAACGTGCCTGCCCCAGGGTTAAAGGTTGCAAACAAGGCAGAGGTCCTGCCTACTAGTGGGGGCGAACAACACTCTTGACCCCTCATTTGTTCCTTTGTGACAATGATGTCACACAGGACCTATCTATAGTCTCACAGTGTGCCCTTCGGTCACATCCAGAAGATTGATGCACAATCAATCAACCTTGCTTCTTAAATGGGGTCTAACAAGCAGACTTGCAGAAGCAATGATCCTCAACGGGAGAGCGTTCTGCGCCAGCTCCACTCCCCTCCCCCAATAGTCTGCAATGTCCAGGAACAGCTTCAATGATCACATATTGGGGGGATGCTCACTGTCCATGGGTGCAGCCCCCACACCCTGCATTGGACAAGGTGGCACTTCACAAGAGACCCACCTGCCATAATGTCCCTGGGGCCTGCTGATTAATGATCCTGAGAGAAGGGCACTACATCACAAAAAGAACCTTGGTCTTTGAGACTCTTAAAAGCCAGGGCTAAGGTGTGTAAAGGAATTAAGTTTAGCATGGGGGTTTTGGAAGAGTATACCTGAAGGCCAAGGAAAAGGGCCTGGGCTATGTGATGGGGGTGGGCTCATTGTCCCTGGAAGAACACTAGCCAGTGTGGGGCAACCCCTCAGCAACAACACTAAATAGGATGTTTGAACACAGCCTCCAAGGGCAGAGGACATTGAGCTAACTGCTCATCATGGGCAACTTCCTGTTGGTTAGTTAGCCAGTTGTTGGTTGGTTGGTTGGTTGGTTGGTTGGTTGGTTGGCTGGCTAGTTGGTTGCTTGGTTGGTTGGTTGGTTGGTTGGTCGGTCACAGGGTCTTACACATAGCTCAAGCTTGCCTCAAACTCACAGTGATCCTCCTGCCTCAGCCTAAGCGCCAGCATTATTGACATGTGCCTCCATAAACAGCAAATTTTCTGTCTATTTGGGGGCAGTGCTAGGATGGTCTCCAGGGTGTCACACACACTAAACAAGGCCCCACCACTGAGCTACAGCCCAGCTAGAGACTTTCATTCTACTGTACCAGGACTAGGCTGTGAATGGAGCCAGATGTCATCTCACTGTCTTCCTGTCCTGTCCCTCTAGGTGGGGCCTGTCAGCCTCTTGGCCATCGGGGTCCTCACAGTGCACTGCATGGATATCCTGCTGAACTGCGCCAGTCACCTCACTCAGAGGTCAGAGTCCACATCTCTCACCCCATGGGCTCCATTCCAGGGCCACTTCTCCTGTCTACCACTTCTGCTGCTCTGAATCCTCCAGAGGTGGCAAGGGGTTTGCAGAAGAGTGTTGTGGAATAGAATCTGTTTACGTAAAGATGTGTTGCATTTGTTTAACTATGTAAAGATGTGTTGCTGTTTCACCTTGCCTGCCTAAAGCACCTGACTGGTGTAATAAAAGCCTGATGGCCAATAGCTAGGCAGTATGAGGGATAGGTAGGGTTGGCAAGTAGAGAGAAAAGGGGAGCCAGCCAGCCAACTGGGGGTAAGATGACTGGAAGCCAGCCAGTAGTGGGGGAACAACCAGATGCAGAGGAAGTAGGAAAGCAGGGTGGATGGTATGCAGATGAGGCAAATGAGCCTCAGGATAGCACACAGAAATGGGATCATTTAAGTTTTAAAAAAAAAAAGCTAATTAGAAACAAGCCTAGACTAAGGCTGGCCGTTCATAACAAGTCTTCATGTCATGTACTGGCGGTCCAAGAAAGACCTCTGCAAAAGAGTCTCAGACAGAAACTGCCTTGTAGTCTGGGGAGAAATGACCACATAGGTTCATGTATTTAAATACTTGGTCCAGCTGGCAACACTGTTTGGGGAGGCTGTGGAAAGTTAGGAGTGGAGATTGGGGGAGGAGTGGGCCTTGTGCTGCCTGCCCACTCTGTTTCCTGGGTCTTCCGTGTGAAGCTCTAGTCTCACACTGCTACCCATGAACTCTATCATGGCTTTCTCAGCATGGCAGACTGTGTGCCCTCAAACTGTGAGACAAAATAATCACTGCCTCCCTTAAATCAGGGTTTCTGCTCCTTCAGCAGTGATGCAAATGGTGTGATTCTCTTGAGCCAAGAGCTTTGCAAGATTTCTGGGCTCCTTCCAGGAGCCCCCTGGGATAGAGACGGTTTTTATTCCCATTTTAGAGGTGAATAAATTTAGGCTAAAATACCTTGCCCTGGGTCACACGGTTGGGAAATGGCAGAACTGGTCTTTGAAGACCTGTCTGACTTCATGATTTCATTCTTTAAAATAAAAAAAAAATAGTTCTCTGAAATTTTCATACAAAGTAATTTGATCATATTCACCCTCCTTCCCTGGTTCCTTCTGGATCCACTTCCTTCCCTATTCTATACTCTGTATTTCCCTCCCACTCTATACTACCCCTTTTCATTTCTTTTCTTTTCGCTTTTTTTTCTTTTATTTTCTTTCCTTCCTTCTTTCCTTCCTTCCTTCCTTCCTTCCTTCCTTCCTTCCGTTTTATTATTAAACCTATTCGTAACCACCAGTGAATCTCTGGATGCCCCGCAAGCCCTCTGGGCCTCCACACCTCCTGCAGGCACCAACTCGCCCACAGTTGCATCAGTTTGACTTTGTCCTTTGGCTGATGGTGTCTTTCCTTTCTCTCTGACATCAACATTTTAGGACAATGGTCTTTTATCTAACTAGGGCCTTTTGCCATTCTTGTTTTGGTTATTTCCCAGATTGCCTCTAACTCTTTATGCCGTCCAGAATGAACTCGATCTCCAGATCTCCTGCCTACCCTCACATTCCTGAGATGACAGGCACACACCAGGTCCAGGGGGATACTGGTTTAGAAGGCTCCATAAAAGTCCTGAGCCTCCTCTCTGTCCCCCAGCCCTGTAGTTAGCACTGTGCACGTGGCGTCAGGCCAGCGCAGCAGTTCCTCTCTGTTCCCACCCAGGACCAGAAGGGTCCTACTGATGAGTCACCCATTCCCCCTCAGAAAGGAAGAGATCACCTTCTCAGGGGCTCCCAAACCTCAGTGTAAAGTTTACATTGTAAACCAAAACAGTCACAGGCTGGCCACACCCACTCTGCCTTTCCCTCCACCTCTTCTGCTCTGCTTCTTTAAACCAGTGCACAGATATTGCTTAATCCAAAGGACAAAACCAAAGAGATCTACTCAAATAATGTGTTTTTTTTTTAAAAGATGTATTTATTTATCATGAATACAGCGTTCTGTCTGCATGAATGTGTAAGGCCAGAAGAGGGCACCAGATCTCATTACAGATGGTTGTGAGCCACCTGTGGTTGCTGGGAATTGAACTCAGGACCTCTGGAAGAACAGCCAAGTGCTCTTAACCACTGAGCCATCTATCTCTCCAGCCCCCAAATAATGTGCTTAAAGCATGTTGCTGAGCGCATGCCTGAAGGGAGGTGGGAGAAGAATCAAGAGTTCAAAGTCGTACCCAGATGCACAAATCCACCCTAGTCTACATGAGACTCAAAAAAAAAAAGCATAAGTGTATAAAAATTGTATAAGCTAATAATTAGCCTCTGAAAGTTGCACCAATGGTACTACTATTAGAAAATTCACAGACCACTCCACGCTATCACACACACACACAACAGTCATCACACACATACACAACAGTCACCAACTCAGGCACAATACTATACCTTCAGCAAAAGTGTCTTAACTTACGCATCCGTTGTCCTTTCTCCCTAGGCTGCAGAGGAGTTTTGTGAACTATGAAGAGACCACGATGTACAGCCTGGAAACATGTCCAAATCCTTGGCTGAGGACGCACTCAGTGTGGGGCAGGTACCGGTCACAAACACAGTGATGAAACCATGATTGAATCCCCTGCCTTTATGTCTGATCCCACACGCTTTTTTTTTAAATTTTATGTTCAATTATATCTGTCCATGTGTTTATATGTGAGCATACATGAGTGCAAGTTCTCAAAGACACCAGAAACACGTGCCAGATCCCCTGGAGCTGGAATTAAGGGTGGTTATAAGTCACCTGATGTGGGTGCTGGGACCTGAACCTGGGTTCTCTGCAAGAGCATGTGCTCTTACTGAGCCCTCTCTCCAGCCCCTGGTTGCACAGGTTTTTAAGTAGATATGCTCTCTTTGGAAACTATCGAGCAAGATAGAGGATCTCCCCATGGCCTCAGTCCTACCTTCTTCATCATGGTTCATAAATATCCTTTCTGGAGCTGGAGAGACACCTCAGCAGTTAAGAGCACTGGCTGCTCTTCCAGAGGACTTGGGTTCAGTTCTCAGTACCATACGGCAGCCCATAACTTTCTGTAACACCAGTTCTAGGGAATCTGACACCTTCACACAAATGCACACAAAATAATAAACTTAAGCAAAATTTTAAAAATAAATAAATAGCCCTCCCAAGGCTATCTTTTTCTGTGCATATCAAGATGTGTGTGAGTGTGAAAAGGTATGTGTTAGCTGTGTTTTTCTTTTTGAATAAAAGGAAGGAAGGAAGAAAGGAAGGGAGGGAGGGAGGGAGGAAGAAAGGAAGGAAGGAAGGAAGGAAGGAAGGAAGGAAGGAAGGAAGGAAGGAAGACAAGAACTCCTATAGCCAGGGTGACCTTGAGCTTGCTAAGAAGCCAAGGATGACTTTGAACTTCCCATACACTACCAAGCTGGGTTAATACAGGGCTGAGAAGCGAAGCTTTATAAACACTAGGCTAGAACTCTACCAGCCGAGCTACAACCCCAGCCCTAGTTTGTTTTATGTTTTCTTTTATGTTGCTTAGAATCATGTTGCTTACTGGCTTGCTTGTTTGTTTGTTTGAGACAGGGTCTTCTGCTTATTAGGCTGACCTCAAACATGCTTTGTAACCTCAAGATGACCCTGAACTCCTGACCCCTCTCCTCCTTCCCAAGTGCTGGCTGCGCACTTCGCAACTAGCCTGAAACTAGATTATCTTTATCTAACAGTGTACCAGTCACCTGTCCTGTTGCTGCAACAGAGTATCCGAGGAAAAAAACTTGAGAAAGGGAGGAGTTATTTCTGCTCACAGTTCCAGACGATTCTATCTACAGTGTCAGGCACAGCATGGCAGCTGGGACAGGAAGCAGCTGGTCCATACATTGTGTCCAGAGTCAGGAGACAGAGAGGGGAGGATGCTGGTACTCAGTTCATATTCTCCCTTGCATTCAGTCTGGGATTCAGCACATAGAATCGTGTTGCCCACATCCAATGTGCCACTGTGGGGCTTCCCATCTCAGTTAGCTTATTTCTGTTTGTTTGTTTTGAGACAGGGTTTCTCTACATACCCCAGGCTGTCCTGGAACTCGTTAGGTAGTCCGGGCTGGCCTCTCATTCAAAGACTCCACCTGACTCTGCCTCCTGAATGCTTGGATTAAAGACATGTCCCACTAAACCCAGACAATCAACTTATTCTAGAACGTCTCTCACAGACATGCCAAATACCTGTTCCCCTTGTGATTCTGTATCCTGTCACTGTGACAGCAGAAATCGGCCATCACACACAATCTCCCTCTTTTTTCATCTCGAGACATACACATCTCATCCTTTGAAGGCTCACAGAGTTCTCTGGTGGGGATGTTTACCGTTTCAGCTGATCCCTGGGGGTAGACATTTAGCTTGTTCCCTTTATTGTGGGGTGAAGACCCAGAGACCACTTGACATGACCAAAGTTTGAATTGAGAGTCTGTATTTCGTTGGCCTGCAACTGCCTGGGGGGAGGAACACTTCTCACAGAGCAGCCCCGGATGCATATTACAGGGAGTTTTTAAAGACAAAGAACACAGAAAAACGATATCCTGGCTGTCAGGGGAAGTTAGCCAACTGTTTAAGGAGAGCCAAGAACACGCAGTTAGCTGGGGCATTTCGACCCTAAGTTTCTAGAACAAGGTTGGGTGCTTTCCCAGGGGACTTATCAGGGCAGGGGGTAGAAACCAAAGATGGCTTCAGCTGAGACAAGATGGAGAAACCTTTACCCTGTTGTACCTCGTTTGATAAGAAGGTAATGGTGAGCCAGTCCTGGTAGCCCAAACCCGTCATGCCACTGTCCTGGTCAGCTATAATTGTCAATGTGACACAGTGTAGAGAGGAAAGCCTAAACTGAGATATTGCCCTGATCACATTGGCTTATGGGTAATTATCTTGACTGTTAATTGTTGTAGGAAGGCCCAGCCCACAGCATCATTCTCTGGGTCTATACAAGAAAGCTAACTAAACATGAACCTGTGAGCAAACCAGTAAGAAGCATTCTCCCATGAGTTCTGCTTCAGGTTCTCACCGTGCTCAGGTCCTGACTTTCCTCAGTGAAGGACTCTGACCTGGGGGTGTAAGATGGAATCAGTCCTTTGCTATCCTATGTTGTTTTGACCAGAGTGCTTTATCACAGTAACTGAGAAAGCTAGGACAGCCATGTTCCCTGACGGCTGTCAGAAACACCCAGAGCTCAAAGCCTGCTTAAATTCAAGACATAGTGATGTAGGGAGGCCCCTGTGCCAGGATTTCAAGAGTCAGGGATGCTGGGCTCTGTTGGAGCACACCTTTGATCCCAACACGCAGGAGGCAAAGGCAGGTGAGTCTCTGTGAGTTCGAGGTCAGCCTGGTCTACAAAGTGAGTTCCAGGACAGTCAGGGCTACACAGAGAAACCCTGTCTCAAAAAACAAAAACAAACAAAAAAAGAAATAGGTATGTAGCTCAGCAGCAGAATTGGAGGCCCTGGCTTAGATCCTCATCACCACATACTTGGGCACGCGCGCGCGCGCACACACACACACACACACACACACACACACACACATACACACACACATACACACACACACACATTGGTGATATGTTCAAAACATTTTTCTGTTTGATCATTGCTGGCCTTCTAACCAATCTTGAAAGGACTCAGAGGGAGACTTCACTGCTCTAGAAAAATGGGGTTGCCAGGGCTTTCACGATAAAATGACACCTCAAAGGTACAGAAAACCCCGGTAGTGGAGGAACAGAGACATCCCAAGACCCCTCAATGAGGACTTCTCTGACAATCCTTCTCCAGGCAGTGAGTCAACACTGAGGGAGCCCTCAGTGAGTGCCCCTTCCGCACCACCCACCCCTACCTCAGGCCCCTCAGACGGGCACTGATCTCCCAGTCAGGAATTGTTCTAGTCATCAGCCAGATGAGGTCAGCATCCATGTCAGATGACATCTTAAGTAGCTATGTAGGGCAAAAATAGCCCCTGGATTGCACTGTACCCATGCCTGTTGAGATGGAAAATTATACAGTTCGGAGAAAACGAGCAAGTCGCTGAAAGCCACACAGGAATCTAGTGTCGGAGCAAAGACTAGAACTCAAGATCTCTCTCCTCTCCAGCCATCAGGATTTCCTTGTTCCATTTCTTTAGAGTTCAGTAACTGAGAAAAGTCAGAAACACTCGGAGGGAAGTCTCTCTTCAACCAGGGATGCTTCATTTTCAGCGTGTGAAGAGGAACTCAGAGGCTTGCGCAAGACCAGCCTGCCCCACAGAGTTAGCAGTCATGGATGGATGCTCAGCCTTTAGATGGACAGTCAGTGGGGAACTTCATGAAGGAAGGTGCAGCGATGTCCCCGTCACACCGGCCCATGCCACAGGTGTCTTGTGATCGAATAGTGTGTATAAAGATCCAATCTGGTGTCTTGTGATAGAATAGGTCTATAAAGATCCGATCTGAAATCCTCTTGCCAGTGGGGAAAAAAAATCAGTGAAGAAACCTCATCTAATCAAACCTCCTGACCTGCGATCAGCTCACGAGAAGACCAAGATAAATGACGCACAAGGTCAGCGGGACCTGTAAAACAGGACATGCCGACTGGACAGATGGTCTGTCAACTCAGGGTACCACCAAAAAAGTAAAAAGTTGCAAGACAAAAAGAAAAACAGGACTTGGGTGTAGCTTAGGGGTGGAGCACCTGCCAAGTATGCAGGAGGCCCTGAGTTCAATTCCCAGTACCAGAAAACAGGAACCAACTAAACAAACAACGAATGAACCCCACACACACACAAACAAAGCAGGAAGAATATGGCAATTTTTCAAATTTAAGCATTGTAATAAAGTGTAATGCAGTGGCTTGCCTGGAACCAGTTTTGTGAAGGAGTGTCACTAAATCCTAAAGTCTTGAGTGTGAGGGGTACATGTATGAAGAGAGACCCAAAACCACAGGCCAACAGGGCGTTGGCCTCCAGTGAGTTGAAAGAGGAACAGTGTTGCTGCTTTTATCATGCATGCCGCTTGAGGTACTTTCAGAATTCTAATCCGGAGGATACAGCCACACAAACAGCATGTAGGCAGTTCATAACAAGGCCAGCCTGAAATGGATGGAGCTAGAAAACATCATTTTGAGTGAGGTAACCCAGACCCAGGAAGACAATTATCACATGTACTCACTCATAGGTGGTTTTTAAACATAAAGCAAAGAAAAACTAGCCCGCAAATCACAATCCCTGAGAACCTAGACAATAATGAGGACCCTAAGAGAGACATACATGGATCTAATCTTACATGGGAAGTATTAAAAAAACAGGATCTCCTGAGTAAATTGGGAGAATGGGGACCATGGGAGAGGGCTGAAGGGGAGGGGAGAGGCAGGGAGGGAAGCAGAGAAAAATGTAGAGTTCAATAAATAATAATAATAATAATAATCAAAAGAAGACCAGCCTGGAGTTTCCAAAATAACCTAGCATAAATCAGCTTCACACACTGCCTTTAATCCCAGCACTCAGAAGACAGAGCCAGGTGGATCTCTGTGAGTTCTGGTCTACAGAGCTAGTTCCAGGACAGCCAGGACTACGAAGAGAAACCCGGTCTCAGAAAGACAAAACAAAGCAAAAACCTAACAGGCACCACATGCAGGCAAAATTCTCCATGTTGCAGGGGGTTAAAAAGGCTAAAGAGGTACAGCTAAATACAACATACAGCCTTGGAAGCCTTTTAACAAAAGTAAAAGTTAAGTCAGGTATAGTGGCACACCTGCAACCCCAGCACTCGGGAGGTAGAGGCAGGAGAATTAGGAATTCAGAGGCAGCCTGATCTACATAGGGAGCCTCGGCTACATGAGACCATGCCCCCCCCCAAAAGAAAACAGTATTTGTGAGGTAATTAATATATCTAAAATATAGACTATATATTTGATGCTAAAGTTGATTTCTCTCTATCTAGGATTAAGAAAAATCTGCGTGAGGTATTCCAAGTAGATGTTTCATGACTTTTGAAATTTTCATTGAAATAATTCTAAAACAGTGTGTGTGTTTTGTTGTTGTTGGTGGTGGTGGTGGTGGTGGTGTTGGTGGTGGTGGTGGTGTGTGTGTGTGCGCGCGTGCTTGTGTGTGTGTTGAATATATATGCCCAGAATGTAAATCAGGTCAAAGGTAACTACTCAGACATTCACTAGAGTGTGTGGATGTGGTGGTTGTGGTGATGTCAGCACTGTTGGGATAGAAGCTAGAAAATCGGGAGTTCAAGGTCACAGTTAGCTACCTGGCTAATGAGAGGCCAGCCTGGGCTACATGAGGCCCTACCTCAAAAAACAGAACAGAGCCTAAAGCCAGAGTTTATGGGTATTAATCCTGCCATACTATCAGCTTCTTCTGAGGGGCTGAAATCTCTCGAAATGCAATCATCAGAAACAATGGCTTTGGAAATGAAACCCATTGTAAACAACGACTCCTTTCCCTTGCTGTCCTCTTCCTTTCCAGGTACATTGTGAGCTTCCTGCTGATCGTCACTCAGCTGGGCTTCTGCAGTGCGTATTTCATGTTTATGGCAGACAATCTGCAACAGGTAGGGAGGGCTCTTCTGGGTAGAGTGAGAGCCGAGGGGACCTCCCAATGCTGGGGCTGTTGGTGGGGCCATAACATCTGAGCCTATCTGCCCCATATTAGACCACGGTTGGGACCAAAGCAGAACCAAAGCCTCTCCCCCTTCCGTCTGGAAAGCATAGATGAAATCTACGTTAGACATCTCAGGTTGTCACATCCCAAAGGTCTAACAAGCTGTCGTCTTCCCCTCATCATGTTCCTAACATGAGACAAGTCTGTGAGAGCATTCTTTTACGGCTTTGCGGGACGGAGGAGCACACCCAGCCATCCCGGAAGAAGAGGGAGCTGTGTAACTAACAGAGGGCCTAGTGGGGGAGCGGCTGCTCAGCTCCCAGCCCTGCCCAGCTTCAACCGCTGAGTCTAAAGAGGATGTAACTGAACCCTCTCCTCTAGTCATGTGAGGGGAAACAAAAATTGCCACTTCACGAGGAATTAAAGATTGTTTAGCAGATAAAAAGACCGTTGAGTCCTTGGGCTTTAGCATGCCCAGGGTTTCCGGTTGTCAGAATCACATACACTATCATTAAGGTGGCTAGAGTTACCAAATAAAAACACAGGACACCTAAAACCAGACATGGTGGCTCACATCTGTAATGCCAACACCTGGAAGGTAAAAGCAGAGTGATCAAAAGTTCAAGTCTGAAGCCAGCATCAGATATATAAGATTAGATCTCAAAAAGTGGGAGGGGCTGAAGGCATAGCTCAGTCAGTAAACTGCTTGTCTTTGCGAGCACAAGGCCATGGGTACCGTCCCCCAGAACCCACATATAATAAAGCTGGGCTTGGGGGCATACAGCTGTAATTCCAGTGCTGAGGAGGCTGAGAGATGGGTGCCTGCTGAGCCCTGGATGCCCAGCCCAGCCCAACATACCCAGTACCAGGTTAATGAGAGACCCTGTGTCAAAAAACAAGGTGGGAAAACCTGAGAAACAGTCCTGAGTTTGTCCTCTGGAGCCCCGACTCCCCAGAAACACATATATGTCAGTGCACAGACTCCCAAAAGACACCCAGCTCTGGAGCTGGAGAGATGCCTCAGTAGTTAAGAGCATTCATTGCCCTTTCAGAGGACCCAGACCTGGGTTCAGTTCCCAGCACCACGTAGTGGTTCACAGTCATCTGTAACTCCAGTTTGGGGAGATCTGACTCCCTCTTCAGACTTCTTCCAACATGAGGCATGTACATGATCCACTTACACATATACATATATACACATATACATATATACAGACAAAACACTCACACAATAAAATTAAACAAATCTAAATTTTCATCTGAAATTACTTATTTTAGATAAAAAGCTAAAATTATTTATTTTACTTTCATGTGTATGAACGTTTTGCCTACATGTATGTGTGTGCACTCTATGCCCATGGATGTCAGAGAAAGGTGCTGGCTTCCCTGAAACTGAGGCACCTCTCTTGACTCCCAAATAAATGTTTTCAAAGGCATCTGGTTATGCTGACATTTCACACAAGTCATGAATAATATCTTTTCTGCTGGGGCAGTAAGTCGTCAGTTGATCAACTGAAATCCTAACTGAAGTGGTTCTTCGTGACTCAGGATTGATGTCCCGCTTTTCCTTGTGCCTCTTTGGCAGATTGTGGAAGAACCTCACTTCACTTCCAACATCTGCCAGCCCAGGAAGAGCCTGGTGATGACCCCCGTGCTGGATGCTCGCTTCTACATGCTCACCGTCCTGCCCTTCCTCATCCTCTTGGTGCTTGTCCAGAATCCGCAGGTGTTGTCTGTCTTCTCCACCTTGGCTACCATCACCACCCTGGGCAGCCTGGCTCTGATCTTCGAGTATCTCATTCAGGTCTGTGTCTGAAGCCACACGGAAGAGGGTCAAGGTCCAAGGCTTCCAAAGCATGGCAGGGTTATGAGCACGGTGGGAAAGTGCTCAGTCCCCTGCCCTGGGCCTAGATGATTTCTAGAAATACTTCTGTCCCACAAGCTGTGAATTAGGCATGATTATCAGCAACCCTCATCTTCAGTATCAGGGTCATATCCAAAAATTGGATCACTAAGTAATTTAGTGATTCTGTGATCAGGTGTTGTTTGAGAAGATGGGGATTTGGGGCTCGATAGCGAGATATAAAGAAGGATGTCATATTCTCCATCACGTCAATGAAATAACAAGAAATAGCACAGTGTGGAGACTGAGAGGGCAGCAGGTGAAGTGCTTACTGCCCTAGCATACGGACCTGAGTTGCCATGCCCAGTATCCACATGACAGCTTAGCACAGTGGGGCACACATGGTACCCCAGAACTAAGAGAGTGGAGGTGGGTAAGGGTTTGTTGGCCAGACAGTCTAGCTAAAATGACAAACTCCACGTTCAGTGAGAGACTCTTAAAAAATAACAGCAATAGAGGAAGACAGCAGAACAACTCTGACCTCCGCCTGCACTGGCATGGGTACATGCACACAGATGCATATATACTACGGGTGGGCACACAACTGTATACACACACACACACATGTGTCAGTGGACAGTGAAATGGGTAGGGCTGGCTGGATGGCTCAGATACTTGCCTCCAAACTTGAGGACCTGAGTTCCTCAGAGTGGAAGGAGGGAACAGACTCCCACAAATTATCCTTTTACTTCCACATGCATACTGTGGCACACATGCCCCACCCCCAGGAATATAAGTGTATTAGAAACTTTTAAAATAGATAGAATGATAGATAGATAGATAGATAGATAGATAGATAGATAGATAGATAGATAGATAGATGAGAAATTTGATCTACTTGGTACCAAGAACTTTACACAACTTCCCCAACCTTCAAAATAAAACAACTTCAAAATACTATCTCTATCCCAGTTTCCAGGAAAAGACAGTAAGGAGCAGGGGCAGCAGGTGAGCAGATCTTTCCGGTTGGGCCAGCTGGTTTCCCGCCCATCATTGGCCTCTAATTGTTGCTTCATGTCTTTGAAGCATGGAATTTTTTGGAATTATATTAGTGTCCTGTTGCTGCTGTAACAAATAACCACAAATCTGGAAAGACGAAAAGAATAAATACATAAGACAAAACAAAACGAAAACCCAGAGTCTTATGTAGCCCAGGTTGGCTTTATAGCTAAGGGTGACCTTGAGCTTCTGACTCTCCTGTCTCCACTTCCGAGTGCAAGCTAGGCGTACTGGCATGTACCTTGACACCCAGTTTATGTAGGCTTCGTATCTGAGGCAGGCACTCTACCAACTGAACTATAACCCAAGACAAGTTTTTGCTTGTTTTTGCTTGATTTTGTTTTCTTTGGTTTCAGGGTATTTGTCTTGAAATAGGGTTTCATAAAGCCCGGGTCTACTTCAAGCTCTTTGAGTATTGGAGGGTGACCTTGAATTTCTGATGTTCCTGCTTCTACCTCCCAGGAGCTGGGTTTAGAGGCATGCACTACTGCATTTGGAGCTATGCAGAGCTGGGAATCAAACTTGGGTCTTCCTGCATGCTGGGCAAGCACACTACCAACTAATCTATGCCCCCACCCCTAAAATGATACAGATTTCTTCTACAGGACTGGAGGGCTTACTGAGCTAATCAGAGATCAGCAAGGCTGTAGCTTTCCCAGAGGTATCAGAGTCTGTTTTTTTGCCTTTCCCAGCATGCTTTGGCCCATGTCCCTTCCATGGCCAAAGTCAGCAGCATCAGGCTGTCTCTCCATGCTACCGTCTTATTTCCTCTTTCATTCCTCTCGTCCTCTTTTAAGGACCCTTACTTATCTGACTCAGATAATCCAAGTTTGTCTCCCTGTTTAAGATCATCTTCTTGACATCCTAAATTTCTTTTGAAAGCTCAGCTCTCTAGCCAAGCATGGTGGTATGCACCTGTAATCCTAGCACTTGGGAGGCTAAAACAGAAAGATAGCTTGGTCTACAGAGCAAGAACCTAACTAAAAAAAAATAACATAATATGTCCAGTTTTGGTGGTACATGCCTTTAACTTCAGTACTTATGAAGTAGATAATCGGATTTCTGTGAGTTTTTTTTGTTTTTTTGTTTTGTTTTGTTTCTCTGTGAGTTTTGAGGCTAGCCTGGTCTACATTGTGAGTTTCAGGGCAGCCAGGGCTACATAGAAAGACCGTGTCTAAGGTGAATGTCTGTGAGGGCCAGCCTGGTCTACAAGAGCTAATTCCAGGACAGGCTCCAAAGCTACAGAGAAACCCTGTCTCAAAAAACCAGAGAGAGAGAGAGAGAGAGAGAGAGAGAGAGAGAGAGAGAGAGGAGGAGAGAGATCATGTCTATAAACAAACAAATAGCATAATCTGCTCATAGGTTCCAGGAATTAGAATGTGGACGTCTTTGAGAAGCCTTTGCTTATTCTACCCACCACAGAAATCTATTATAATTACTCCTTCCTTGATTACAAGGCCAGCTTGGGCTACCTGATACACTGACACAAATGAGTTATCACTCCCTACATCTACGATGGCTACTGTACCAACTGGCAGACGCACAGCCCCAAGTGGAAAGATGGGAAAGAGACGTTAAGGGCAGGAGCTGGGGACGAGTACAGTACCTGGACCGCTTGCAGAGTAGCCTTGGGCAATTTCCTTCTCTCCCCTCCCCTACCCCGTCCCGACTGCTCCATATTTAAGATGAGAAGACAAACTGTATAGGGTGAGGGGAGAGAATAGAATATTACTGAGCAGCTGGGTGGTGGCGGCACACGCCTTTAATCCCAGCACTTGGGAGGTAGAGGCAAGCAAATCTCTGAGTTCGAGGCCAGCCTGGGTTATAGAGCGAGTACCAGGACAGGCTCCAAAGCTACATAGAGAAACCCTGTCTCAAAAAAGGAATATTACTGAGCACTAAAGAGAAATGAAAGGGTTTTATGCTTCTCTCTCTCTCTCTCTCTCTCTCTCTCTCTGTCTGTCTGTCTGTCTGTCTGTCTCTCTCTCTCTCTCTCTGTGTGTGTGTGTGTGTGTGTGTGTCCAAAAGGCCAGAAGAGGGTATCAGAATGATGTCTCTGGAGCTAGAGTTACAGGTGGTTGTAAGCTGTCTGATGTAGGTGCCAGGAACTGAACTCCAGTCCTCTGGAAGAGAAGCAGGCTAAGAGTTGAACAAAGAATTACTTAGAGTTTCAGTTTGGGGTGATAAGAAAGTTCTGGTAATGAACATTAGTGAATGTCACAGAGTGAATATATTCAGTGGGTAAGATGACTAACTGGAAAGTTTGGTGTTATTTTGCCACAATAAATATAAACAAATTAGACTGACGATGTGGCCAAGTGAGTAGGGTGCTCGCCTTGCGTGCAGGAGAACCTGGGTTCTGTCTTCAACACTGCATAAAACCCTACCTTGGTGCACACCTGTAACCCCAGCCCTGGAGATGGAGACAGAGACAGGAGGGTCAGGATTTCAAACTCATTCTCAGGGACATACAGAGTTCAAGTCAGCCTGGACTACAAAATAAATTAGCTAATTAATTAGAGCACTTTTGTTTTTGTTTTTCGAGACCGGGTTTCTCTGTGTAGCTTTGGAGCCTGTCCCGGAACTAGTCCAGGAACTAGACAAGACTGGCCTTGAACTCACAGAAATCCACCTGCCTCTGCCTCCCCAGTGTTGGAATTAAAGGCAGGCGCTGCCACCACCCAGCTAGAACAGTTTTTTAAAGATAAGATAGTAACAGCGCTCTTTCGAAGGCCACCAGAGGTGACCCGAGATGCCCTCCCCACAGCAAGGCCAGCCAACACCCTGCCTCTCTTTTCAGGAGATCCCGCGTCACAGCAGCTTGCCTCTGGTGGCAAGCTGGAAGACTTTCCTGTTGTTCTTCGGCACAGCCATCTTCACCTTTGAAGGTGTGGGGATGGTAAGAAAGATGAGGTGCCCTACAGGGCGGCCAGCTGTTAGTCCCCATGTCACCTAGCAGTGTTGGGGCCAGCGAAGCATAAGGACTTCCTGGTGACAGGAAAGCCTGAACTAGTGAGGGCCGCTCCCAACCCAGACCACACCTCAAGCTCCCAAGATGAAGACAAAGATGGAAATTGTACTAATTAGCCCGCCCTGAGCAGGGTGTTGGGGCAAGAACAAGTGGAAGACAAGATGAAGGGGGAGTGAGCATCTGGAGGGGGGTGTGGCCATTTGGAGTGATGAGGCAATTTAACAAATGTGGCTGTGTGGAGGGTGTGATCTTGTAGAGGGGTGTAGTCTTCTGGAGGGGTTGTCCTTGTAGAGGGGTCCCTGATGATTCAATCGACCAGGAGAAGAACACCAGTGCCTGTAAGAGAGCCTACACCCACATAATGGCTCGGCTTGGGACCCTGTCTTTCCCAAACCGTCTGCTTCCAGGTTCTTCCTCTCAAAAGCCAGATGAAGAGTCCACAGCAGTTCCCTGCCGTGCTGTACCTGGGCATGTCCTTTGTCATCTCCCTCTACATCTGCCTGGGGACTCTTGGCTATATGAAGTTTGGCTCAGACACTCAGCCTAGCATCACCCTCAACTTGCCCAATTGCTGGTAGGAACCCGCCAGCCTCAAGTGGGACAGGGAGGGGTGGGAGGTGAGCCTTAGTGGCAGAACGCGCATGCGTGGACCGGTCGCGTGGTTACCTTGAGCAGAAGAAATGAGCTGCGGTGAACTGCGGACATTCGCGTTGATTATGATAATGAATGAATGTGGTGGCCAGACACTGGGCTCCCTCTCGGTTTCTCTCAGCCGCCGTAAGCATCGTCACTGAGGACTCCATAGAACAGACGGTGCTACATTAGAGGTTGTCAGTGACCTTCCCAGCTCACACTGTCTAGTGGGAGTGGAGACCGGAGTTCCAAGTTTGACCCTAAAATGCAAAGGCCCTAAGGGGGTCAGTTTGGAAAGTGAAAACTCCATGGTAGAGCATTTGTGCAGATTGTCTGAGGCCCTAGGTTGGATAAGAATAACAATAATAGTTTTTAAATTTTTGAGATAGGGTCTCATGTAGCCCAGGATAACCTCAAGCTTCCTTTGTAGCCAAAGCCAGCCTTGAATGCCTGACCCAACCTGCCTCTCCTTCCCAAGTACTGGGATTACAGGCATGCACTACCATTACCTGGGACTGCTACTTAGACTCTTGAGTATCCCCAGCTGGAACTCAGCCTGGAATCCTTACCCCCAGTCGTTTGTTCTTTCATCCATCTATCCAGGAAACACCCAGAGGTGGGATCTTTAGATCCTAGTGACTAAGTACATGTTCTAAAGCTAACTAATAGGAATCCGCATTCTGGTTCCTCCACGGCCGTGGGTGAGCCTCCCACCCTTCTGTACAGTAAGGCTTACTCACGTGCCTCTTTGTGTCGGTCAGGACAGCTTCATGATGCTCCGATCATGAACCATCACCACGGCTATCACACAAGTGTTTAACTCTTTGTTCACACCAACCCATTATGGGATGGCCCAGGCTCTTGTTCTAGTGAATCAGCCACACTCCAGGATGTTGCTGGTTGTCATGACAAAGAGTCACTGAATGCCACCTGCCCTTCCCAAGCAGGTAGTGCAGCAACTTGAACTACCTTAAGCTAAATGAGACAGCCCTCCTGCCAGACTCCCCACCCTGGCAGGAAAGGGCCTGGAAACCTTGGGCAAACAGCCCTCTACTGCACTCCCTGGCAGAGTGTGTGCTGGCAGCGATTGCTTTCATATACAGAAAATGCTAGAAAAGTGTTTGGCACGCAGAGAGCTCTGCGGATTATCAACTGTTACCATTGTTATGGTCCTTACAGGCTTGGGCTTTCAGGTGGGCGGGGTAATGGTGTCATCCATGTTCCCCAAAGCCAGAGAAGTAAAATAAGGAAAATGTCACCAGACCCACCCACCTTGCTGTGCCCCGCTCATGACCAGATGAGATCATGAATGTGGAAGCTTTGAAGTTATGCCTTACTTTATGAAAGCGAGATATTATCTTAATATGTGGGTCTTATTCTTCTCGGCTGATTGCACTTCCTCTGGCTATCATGGGCAGAGCCTTTTCATGCTGAAGTTGGCAGCTAAGTACATGGGCAGCGAGCTCCAGCCAGGCTTTTTACACAGGCTGGTATAAGCCGGCTGGTGAGTGGAGGGAGAGGAACCCACTCTTGAACAAACAACCCTTCCCAGTAAAAACACCAACAATTCCAGTCAAAAAGGGGAGGGGGGTGATAAATACACAAAATAACAATTTTATATACAAAAAGGTCCTCAAAACATACAGAAGAAATGCCGGTTTAAAAAATTACGGTATTGAGGCTGGGGGATAACTCAGCTAAGCACACTTCTCACAGAAGCATGAGACCTGAGTTAGGCCTTCAAAACTCACACAAAAATCTGGGTTTGGAACTGGGCGGTGGTGGTGCACACCTTTAATCCCAGCACTCAGGAGGCAGAGGCAGGCAGATCTCTGTGAATTCGAGGTCAGCCTGTTCTACAAAGAGAGTTCCACGACAGCCAAGGCTAAACAGAGAAATCCTGTCTCAAACACTCCCTCCTCCCCCAACACAAAAAAATCTGGATTTGGAGGTGTACATTTCCTATTCTAGCGCTGGGGGTGGAGACAAGCAGATCCCTGGTGTGCCAAACCAGTGAACCTCCCAGGGCCCACAGAGAGATCCCTCATCAAAAACAAGGTGCCAGCTCCCAAAGGGCAACACCTCTCCATGCTTGCACACGTGTGTGTATGTGCATACAGGAACACACACACATACTACAGTGTCAGAGACTGACATGATTCACATATTATTTTGGCACTTAGAGATGCCATAGACTAGGACAAAAGGGCGATATCAAAATTTAAAAACATAGCTGGGGTCTGATGCCTAGTTCAGTGGTTGAGCGCTTACATGGCATACACGAGGCTCAGGGTTCAGTCCTCAGGACTACATACACCAGAGTGGTGGTTTGTGCTACTAATCCCAACAATTTCAAAATGGAATCTGAAGGTTGTTCTTGGCTGCATATCCACCTGGAAACCAGCCTGGGATACAGGATGAGATTCATGTCAAGAAAAAATTAATTTAAAAATCATTTTTACTTTTGGAGTTGATGTATAGATAAGGAATATGGGGTGTGAGAGCTATAGATGCTGAGGTAAACAGATGTGGGGCATGTGGGTGTTTGTCATATATGCTGAAATATGCAGACATAAGTGCATTATGTGTGCTATGGTAAACAGATCTATGCAGAGATAGTCTTTGCAGCATTGTTTGTTTCTTTGGCAAAAGACGGAATAATCTAAGTTTCTTATTAACTGTCGACTAGTTGAAAAACTGAAAAAAAAAATCTCTGTGCTGTTAAATAGAAATACCAGACATGTACTTACAGGGAACGACTTTTACAAGAAATATTTTATTTATTGTTTTGAGATGGGATCTCACTGTATAAGCCTTGTTGACTTGGAACTCACTATGTATACCAAGTTGGCCTCAAACTTGTGGCAATCCTCCTGCCTATGCCTCCCAAGATCTGGGATCACAGGCATGTCCTGCCACATCTGGTTTTATATTTGATGAAATAACAAAGGTCAACAAACAATTCATAGAGACGTGCCACCATGCCTCTGTGGGTGTATTGTGGCTCCCCTAAGAGTAAGATTGTAGGCACAGGGCTGGGAGGATGACTCAGTGGATAAAGTGTTTGCCACCCAAACATGAAGACCCAACTTAGAACCCTAAAACCCCGTATAAGAGCTGGGCACAGTGGTGGATGTCTGTAATCCCAGTGTTCCTAAGTGAGACAGGAGTCAGGGACAGGAGAGTCTATGTGGCGCAGCTAGCCTGCACATGCGACAGTAACAAACGGGGCAGACGCTGCTCCAGATATGGTAGCAGGCTGGGATGGACACTTGAGGCTGTCATTTGACCTCCACATGGGAGCCACAGCAAACTCTGAGGGAACTGCAGTGAGAATCAGAGCTGGGGAAATCCTTGTGGCCGTATGGCTGCTATACTCTGAGTTGTATTACATGTACATATGGCATAATTTTTAAATAAAATATTTAAATGAAATACTTGGAGGTTCCTCTAGCTCCAGAACTTACAGGAATACAAGGTTCCGTGTCCCCTCTGAGCCAGTCTGACCGGAGTCACTGACCCTTGACCTGTGAAGCTTCCAGTGAGTCCCGAGCCACCGTCCTGGAAGACTGGTGGCGTCACACATCCTTTCAATGTTCTGTCTGCAGGTTGTACCAGTCAGTCAAGCTGATGTACTCAGTTGGCATCTTCTTCACCTATGCCCTCCAGTTCCACGTCCCAGCTGAGATAATCATCCCCTACATCATCGAGAGAGTGTCTGAGAACTGGGCTCTGTTCGTAGACCTGACCGTTCGCACAGCCTTGGTCTGCCTGACCTGTGAGTCGGGGAGGTGACGCTTATACACTCAAACCTATGACATGTGTCCTACCCCAGTATAGTGCCCACCCCAGCAGCCTTGGCTCCGCCACTTGTCTCTGTGATCTACAAGGTGTTTGTCTCCTTGCTTCTCTTCTTTCCATCTGAAGATGGCTTAGAAAACTCACAGAAAGAAAGCCACCTCCAGTCCTCTTGCCTAGGCAGTGGGCACTGACCGAATCATGGGAGAAGGCAAGATTTTTCTTGCACAGCCACTTGCCTACCTGCTGACCACTGTATTTACTCATGTGTCTGCCACTCATACCAACCTTGTGTTGCTACCACCTGAGGGAGCCACGGCCCAGAGAAATCGTCACATCACCACATCACACAGCTCCATGACAGATGGGGGATCTGGTCCCCTAGAGTCTCTCTCCTTCCCATTTTAGGTATGATCAAGTCCCTGTGTCATCAATTATTTAATTGTGAAGAAATTTATATATTTAATTGTCCCCAAAGGGGACAATTAGTTAGGCTGATTTGCTAAAGATCTGGGGGTTATTTAGGACTTCCCCCACCCTCTTTCTTCCTTCCCCCACCCCTTTTGTTCACAGCAAACATAGCTTAGGAAGCATTGGAAGAAGGGCTGGGTCATCCTTTTTCTGGAACATTCTAGGAAGAGAGGATCAAAAGAGGTGCCCAGGAGGAAAAAGCAAAGAAACTGGGGATGTTTGACCTAGAGAAGTGAGGTTACTGGACTTCTAGTGTTTGATAGAGTACGAGGCAGAAGAGACCCTTAGTGTGTGAGAGGGAGATTTGCTGGCTGCCAGACTAGCTCCAGATCCAATGAGAGACCCTGTCCCAAGGATGAGACACAGAGTGCTAGATGACAGAGCAGGACACTTGATTCCCTCTGCTGGCCTCCACACTCATACACACACACACACACACACATATACACACACACACATTCACACACACATAATATACACACATATAACATATACATACACACACATATACACACATGTACACACACCCCATTTTTTCTCTACAAAAATGGTAATTTTAAAAAAGGACTGGGGGACAGACAGGGAGACAGGGTCTGGAGCCATGGTGCCTGGTCTAATCCTTAAACTCCAAAGCCAAGCTTGTTGGGTACTCCCCTCTTTGAGGCACACTCAGCGAGTCTACATTCCCCTCTCTTTCTGCAGGTTTCTCGGCCGTTCTCATCCCTCGCCTGGACCTGGTCATCTCCCTGGTGGGCTCTGTGAGCAGCAGCGCCCTGGCCCTCATCATCCCGCCCCTGCTAGAGATCACCACCTTTTACTCTGAGAACATGAGCTGTGTGACCATTGCTAAAGACGTCATGATCAGCATCCTGGGCCTCCTAGGGTGTGTATTCGGGACATACCAGGCGCTCTACGAGATGACTCAGCAGGCCCACCTTTCCATGGCTAACTCTACAAAGGGCTACATGTAATTGCCTATTTTTATTTGCATAGTTCTTCCTTCCTCCCATGCTCTGTTGAATTCCCATTATATACGTTTCAAAACCCAGCATCTCTATGCTAATTAGTGGCTTCTTTATCTGCCAAGAGGAACATGGTACTGGTGTGTGAGTCGCGACTGATCCCTGAAAAGTGCCCTGCTGTTGGCTTTGGGTTTCTTGGGTAGTTCTTTTGTGCCTTGAAGCCCAAATGAGGCCAAATCTTTGATACCATCAGCTTCAAAAAGCCGGGCAAGGCTGTGCATGTCTGTGGTCCCAGTGCCAGAGAGACGGGGAGGCAGAGACAGATGGATGCCTAAAGCTCATAGGCCAGTCAGCCTAGCCAAATCAGTGAGTTCAGGTTCACTGAGACACCCTGTCTCCCAGAAACAAGATAGAGTGCAATCGAAGAAAGATACCTGATATCAACCACGGTTTCCACACATGTATATGTACGTGTACACACACCCACACTGATAAGTACACGTACCACATAGCCAAAGTGGGGGAAACAAATAACCGAATGGGTGGGGATGGGTGTAGGGGTGACTCATCAGTTAGCAGCATTTGCTGCCCTTGCACAATTCAGTTCCCAGTTCCCACATCGGGCAGCTCACCATGGCTGACTCTAGCTCCAGGCAGTCTGACACCCTCTTCTGGCCCTGTGGACACACACACACTTCAATAAATTAATAGTAAATAAATATTTTTTAAGGAAAATGAATGGCACACCCCACACCTCTGTTGCCCTGGAAATCCCACAAGTGTAAGTGTGGTTGCTTTCCCTATGTCCACAAAGGATTTCCTGAAGTAGCGGGCTTAGAAAGTGTGCCCTGGAGGAAGATGAATCTCCTGTTCCCGTAAGTGTCTCAGGAAGAAAGTGGCCTTAACTTTGTCCAGCCACGAAGTCAAAACTCATCACCCAAATGTTTAAAAAATAATTTCCCATAAATTAGTTACTCTGCTGCCCTGGAGATCTGAGGAGAGCCAGAGATAAAAGCTCACTTCTTCTGAGGTTTTCATTATATATCCATCTTTCAGAGAAGACACGTTCTCATTGCTACCCAAAAGGAACGGCTTTCCCATCTATACTGTTTCCTTCTTTTCCTCCTTCTTCCCTTCCCTTCCCTCTCATCTCACCTCTCCCTCAGCTCTCCTTCCCTCCCTTCCTCTCCCCCTGCCTGTCTACCCCTCTTCCTCCCCTCTTTTCTCTCCCCTCCTCTCCCTCCAGTGGAGAAAGAGATTTTCATCCTCCACAAGGATTACTGACCTACTTTTTAAATAACATTTGGCTGGGGGAAGGGTTTTAAAAAGACAGTGCTCTCTGCAGGCACACTGCTATTGGGTTCCTTGTCCAAGGACAATTTTGTAGCGTGGAAGTCTTGACACGTGTAGCACTCCTGGGCATTTGTCCCAAGCATCTTTTGTGCTTGAAAAGATTAACATAACATAGGAGAAAATTAGAAATACACATTTCGTGTAATTAAAATAATGAATCATGGGGGGCTGGAGAGATGGCTCAGAGGTTAAGAGCACTGACTGCTCTTTCAGAGGTCCTGAGTTCAATTCCCAGCAACCACATGGTGGCTCACAGCCATCTGTAATGAGATCTGGTGCCCTCTTCTGGCCTGCAGTCATACATGGAAGCTGAACACTGTGTACATAATAAATAAATCTTTAAAAAAAAATAAAATAATGAATCATAAAAGCTAGCATGCCACCTGACTTGGAGCACACTGCTAGGTTACTCTGACTTATCAATGAGCAAAAGCTGCTTGAAAAAAACCAAACAAAGAGGTGAGCCATCCAGGCCTGGAGGTGCGGGCCTATAGTCCCAGTGACAAGGAGGCTGAGGAAAGAGAATGACAAGTTCAAAATCTACCTGTGCTGTTTATTGAGGGGGTTCGAGGTCAGCTTGAGCAACAACTTAGTGAGAGCCTGTCACCAAAATAGAAACTGAAGGCAAAGAGGGTGGGTTGTGACTCAGGGGCAAAGCTGTTGGCTGGCATGTGGAAGACCTGAGGTTAAATCCTCAGTAGAGCAAAAAGCAAACTAACGGAATGATGTGAGCCACAGCTGGATAAAAGCATTATGGGAAAATAAATAACTGGGACTGGCGCCCAGAGCCTTGTGCATACTAGGCAAACACTGTACTAACAGAGCCACTGCCCAGGCTTACGGTGACTCTTTTAAGGTCTTTGTAGAGCTTTTCCCTTGCGTTCCTAACTAGCTAGGCATCTGTTGCAAGAGGCCTATTGTCTGGCCTGTCTCTGCTTGTGACATGCCTCCTCGCTAACCACAAGCACTCCTGACTAGGTTTAAAGTGAGAAACGTGACTCTTTGCATTTGCTTACGTACTTAAAATCATTGCATGGTTATGAGCCATGTGGTGGTTGGAATGAGAATGGCCCCCAGAGGCTGATACATTTGAAAGCTTGATCACCAGGGAGTGGAACTGTTTGAAAAGAATTAGAAGAATTCGGAGATGGGCCCTTGTTGGAGAAGGTGTGGTCTTTTAGGAGGAGGGTGTCACTGGAAGAGGACCTTAACACATCGAAAGCCCAAACCAGGCCAAATTCTCTCTCTGCCTACTGCCTGTGGATCAGGATGTAGGGCTCTCAGCCATTTCTCCAGCGCTGTGTCTGCCTACTGGCCACCACACTTCCTGCTGTGATGATAACGGTCTAAGTCTCCAAAACGATAAGCAAGCCCCCAATTGAATGTCTTCTTTTGTAAGAGTAGCCTTGGTCATGGTGTCTCCTCACAGCAATAGAACAGCAACTGAGACAAACTGGCTATTTTTTGTTATTGTTAGGTTTTTTGTTTGTTTGTTTATTTGTTTTTTGAGTCAGAGTTTCTCTGTGTAGCCTTGACTGTCCTGGAACTCACTCTGTGACCAGGCTGGTCTCAAACTCACAGAAATCCATGGGCCTCTGCCTCCCAAGTGCTGGGATTAAAAGCATGTGCCACCACCACCTGGTAAATTGACTATTTTTTTAAGTGTGTGTGTGTGGTGTGAGATGTGTGTTTGTGTATATGGTGTGTGTATGTATGTATGTGCAGTGTATGTGGTGTGTCATGTGCGTGGTGTGCTTTGTGTCTGTGTGTGGTGTGGTGTGTGTGTGTGTGGTATGTGTGATGTGTGTTTGAGTATGTGTTGTGTGTGTGTGGTGTGTGTTTGTGTATGTGATGTGTATGTGGTGTGTGTGTGGTATATGATATGTGTTTGTGTATGTGGTGTGTGATGTGTGTTTGTGCATGTGGTTTGTGTGTGGTGTGTATTTGTGGTGTGTGTGTGTATATGTGGCATGTGTGTGGTGCGAGGAGGTGTGTGTGTGTGTGTGGTGTGTGTGTGTAGTCCATGAGCTTCCCGAGAGTTTTGTGTCTCTTTTTCTGTCCTCACTGTTGGGGTTACAGATACACTACAGCACACAGCTTTATGTGGACTCTGGAAATTCAAACTCAGGTCCTCACAACTGCTCAGCAAGTGGTTTACCAAACCCCTAATGGATGAATTATAGCACCTTCGTCTATCAAAGAACAGAAAGCAGGGGAAGAGTGAGGAAGAAATGGCGTACTCATCAATGAGTAGCAAGAAACCCTCAAAACAATGGCAATAGTAACACAGGATTGCTGACAGCAGGCACCGTGACCTCAGTGACCTAGGCCTGTCAACCCTGCACTGGAGAAGTGGAGGCAGAGAGGTCACATGTTCAAGGTCACCCTCCCAGTGACAAAGAGGATGCCCTTGAATAAGTGGGTCAAAATCCTCAGAGAAATAAAGAACTCTCCCTTGGAAGAACGCTTGCCTGGTGTGTGGGTTAAAAGCTAAAAGGGGAGACAAAGGGTGAGTGATAGGCAAGTGTGTAGAGAGAGAAGCCTTTGAAGGAGGGGTCTAGTATAGGAGGCTGGGGTACTTACAGAGAAGAAGGGAAGGGGACTCACCCGACACCCTCTGAAAACTCTCTCAACCCACCCATAGCTTCCCTAAGCGGTGTGACTCCAAAGCCTAGAGCACCTTTAACACCCACTCAAGATGAAGCACCCACAGCACACAGGGAGTCAGCAGAGTCAAAGATAGCTAGCCCAAGACAGAGCCCGACAGAGGGTATCCAGGCCTGGTCCCCAGAGGACGGGGAACTGGGGTTTGAGACTGGCTGGTGTCCATTTATCTCTTCCACATATGTGTTTTTTAACCTTCAACAAATTGTTTCACTTCCCGAAAACTTGAAGGAACCTTAACTTTCCAAACTGTTGATGAGCATAAAATTGAGGAAATGAAATGATCAATGTTTTTGTTATTAAAAGTAGAATATAGATGAGGTACTGCACTAAAATGCATCTAAGAGCTACAGATCAAAAGTACGGATGTTTCTGTTTAAGTCCATCCCAGTATACAAATGGTTAACATCCTAGTTACCTCTCAAATGCTGGTGAATGCCATTTTTGACTAGATTAGAGATCAAAGATTTTTATCAAAAGCCAATGTTCTGTGGTGGTGGTGGTGGTTGTGCATGCCTTTAATACCAGCATTTAGGAGGCAGAGGCAGGTAGATCTTCACAAATTCAAGGCCATCTTGTGAGTTCCAGGACAGCTGGAGCTACAGACTGAGATCCTCTCTCAAAATGAATGAATGAATGAATGAAATAGGGAAAAAATCTCTGACAATTTAAGAAGAAAAAAGTGTCACCCCCACTCTAAAACACCATATCCCCAGGAGCTTGGGGTTTTAGCAGGACTGGGCTATGAGAAGATGCCTACTGTCCTCAGAGCATGTCACGCGAAGGGGAGACTTCCAGGAATCAGGATGTCACCTTTTCTCGCCCCTAAACGTTTGGATGTTCTGGGATTTCACTGGAAGCATGGCTCTGTTATTATTATGAGGTTCTGATGAGCCCAAGGTTATCTGGATTGACAGACTAAGCGAAGATGAGATTGGACCAGTCCCCTGCCCTCCTACCCTTGGGAGGATGAGCTAATGCTATGTACCCTGGGAGCACACCATCAAGACCTCAACTTCCGCAAGCAAGCAGCCTCTGATTAATAAGGTCTCTGGGAAAAACTGGGACCTGATACTGAAAACAAACTATCTGGGATACAGAAGCGGGGTTCAGTCACGATCCCCAAGACTTTCAAA